GGGCACTAATACGACCAGGTTCATTTTTCTTTTAATAATTGACCTGCAGTCTAGTGAGCCGACCAAGTTCTGCATACTGCATCCTGTGTCGTGGCTGTAGTGTTCATCTCATAAGCAAAAGGTTGATGTCTCGAATTAGAGAGAGCGGCGAGTGCCAGAACGCCAGGATCTTCTGTAGATACATTAGTGCCAAAGCTGAAATGCACGTAATGGCACATACTACAAGTGTAATACTGATTGTCACACTGCATTTGGGGTCCTAAGGGCCTCAAAAACGACCGTCAAATAAAATACCACTTTTTTTTTCGTGGAAAAAACAAATGGCTTTTTTTTACCAAAGGGTCACCTTCTACGGCGTCTCTCGACTTTACGAAGGCCCGGGGTACACAATAGCCGCCATGGAGCTCAAGACTCCTCTTGAGCGACATTTTTATACTGTTGAAGATGAAGCAGAGTGGCAGTACTCTATTCGCAAAGTGGCAGAGCAGAGTGCCAGAGCAGAGCGGCAGAGCAGAGCAAAGCAGAGTGGCAGTACTCCGCTATTCGCAAAGTGGCAGTACGTTTCTTGTCCCACTTTTCAATACCACCTCTGGTTGTGCGTGTCGGGGACCGAGTGGCGAGAGTTTGTGTCTACGACATCGGAAAGAACCTGAACTTTACTGGCACTGATACTACAACCGCAGAATTTACAACGCATACAAGGTGACTCTTTAGTGAAGCAGCATAGTGCTGCTGTCGTCGAGTCCAAATTCGGGCAAAGTAACAAGATGCTCTACCGGCTCAGGTACAGATTCATGAACAGAGAGAAACCAGCCTGTGCTCTCACGAAAATAGGCTCGGGTAGGCCGCGCATTTGTGGAAATCTAGAATGGCGGGCTACCATTTCGACAAAAACAGGAGGCCCAGAAGCACAATTGCTTCATAAGGCATCCCGTCCCCGTTGTTAAAATTCAGAAACCGTATTCTGTACGGGTCCAACGTGAGGTCTTTTCTGATAGCTCTCTGCACCAGTCCCGAAAATACACTCCCTCCCAACAATGCGCGAATACGTGATCAATTGTTTAGCGCGATCATTTGTTCGTTGGCAATGAGCCCGAATGCAGTTTAAAGAAGAATGTCTTGGTTCCCGGCTGCGCGTGCATCTTTTAACTCTTTTGAAAACATTGCTGCTTGGGCCTCCACTGTACATAGCCCGATAAAGCGGCACTGGAAACACGACGTCACATAAGGCGGACTCGCTCGCTGGATTCCGTGCCGACCGGTTGTGCCCCCGCAATCTCCGACGACATTGCAGCTCTAATCGACTGGGTTGGTTCTACGCCACCTCCTGTGACGCCGGTCCCCGACGACAGCTCTCGCCGACTGGATGAGCCCTACGCCATCTCCTGTTGCCGACAAGAGCTGTTGCCAGTGGTGCCCCGTCCTCGGACTCCTGCGACCGTGTTCATCTTGCCTATCTTCTTTTTACTTCTGTCACTCCCTGTCCCTGCGCCTATATATATATATATATATATCTTATAATTTTATACTTTTAATCCCTCCTTACCCCCATCCCTTGTGAGCTACTGTTGAGGTGTCGCTCCAGATGCAGACAGTTACGGGGCTCACTTTTCTCTTTTCCCTTTTATAACTACGTCAGGAAAACATAAGGCAAAATAAAGCCAAACAAAAGAAGAAATACAAGTACTGCTGAGGCCCAAAACTACTTGGTAAATATTGAGCAATACTAGCAAAAAGAACGATGTAGAGCACCAAATAACCTAGTAATTCCACACAACCCTCAATATTTGAGATTGTAATTTCACTGAATGACGTTGCACTTATAAAGGTTTCAAGTGAAATTTAGGGCCTTACTAAATCGACAGTTACAACTTTAGCCGTGGCCTTTCCTCTTCAAAGGTTGAACCAAATGCCAAGTGTTGAACCAAATGCCAAGCTCCCGAGGCCCTCCAACCAGGACGCCCGAAGCGAACAGGTTCTCCGAAATCGAAGACTCGACCTCCCACACGTAACGTTTTGTGATGCTCCATCTTAACTGGACCAACAAGAACCTGCCGAGCGCGTCCACATAATAGCCTCAAGACCAAAGGGGCACCAAGTTGAGTTTTGAATAGAAGAGCGTGCCACTGGATATGCACAACAAACAAATGCAAAAACATACACACGAAAAAAAAGCCTCCCTGCCACACAGATTGATTGACAAGTTGCCCGGCTTTACATTCAGTTTAAAAGCGAGAGAACATCAACATGTCCTACATTTCACAATGAGTATGAATGTCTATCATGGCTAACAAACATGCAGATCGGTTTCTCAGTTTCGCTGCAGCTTCATATTGTGGTGAAATGCGAGCACTAGGAGAAATGTTGGTACCTTATGTTACACTTGCATTATTTATTGTATGATATGGATCCAGCATATTTGACAGTCACTAAAAACACAGGATATGGGTCCAGCATATTTTACAGTCACTAAAAACACAGTTAACCTTATTGGCATCTGAACAGCGTGAGATTTCGGGGTGCGATAGATTCTGTAAGCCTTAACACTCCTTAAAAGCTCTGTACATGATTAGGCAATATAACCACCGTGAAGGTATTCCACAGCCTTCCATGGGCACCTGCTGGCCAAGGTTGGATCCAGAGATTGCTGGCACGTCGTGCAGGGGGCAATGAGAGGTAGTCCGTCGCGCACTCTTTAAAATTCCGCTAGCGATCAGGGTAGAACGACACCAAGTTTTCATTACACCGATATGTCCTTTGCGTGATGCATGCCCAATAAGGCGAAGCAAGAAGCAGGAACCAGAAGGTGAATCGTTGCTGATGAACGTCTTGGTAGCAGGACAGGGATGGTCTTGCCCCCCCCCCCCCAAGAGGCACAGCCTGGACGTGGAAGTCTATGCGGGTTTGTATGTAGCGTCTATGGGCGATATTGAAGGTCGAGGGGCTGTAAAGACACCAATATTTCACGGTTACATAATGTGGGGATGCAAAAGATGCACACACTAATACGAGCTCAAGGGGGATGCGATCTTTAGGAATGCTGAATTCCTACTTATATCCAAGGATTGGACGAGATAATGGGATTTTTCTGCTATTGATAGAGCTCGAACTCATACCCTGAGGCTAAAACTGAAGCGAATCAAGTTCGTGCAATTTACATCACAGTTACAACACAACAGCTAAGAACAACAGTGTCCTCGATGCCTTCATTGGGGCGATTTCTGAACGTTGTGATGTTGAGCGAAAAAAAAAGCCTCCCTGCCACACAGATTGATTGATAAATCTGTTACAAGTTGCCCGGCTTTACATGCAGTTTAAAGAAGAATGTCTTGGTTCCCGGCTGCGCGTGCATCTTTTAACTCTTTTGAAACATTGCTGCTTGGGCCTCCACTGTACATAGCCCGATAAAGCGGCACTGGAAACACGACGTCACATAAGGCGGACTCGCTCGCTGGATTCCGTGCCGAGGTTGTGCCCCCGCAATCTCGACGACATTGCAGCTCTAATCGACTGGGTTGGTTCTACGCCACCTCCTGTGACGCCGGTCCCCGACGACAGCTCTCGCCGACTGGATGAGCCCTACGCCATCTCTGTTGCCGACAAGAGCTGTTGCCAGTGGTGCCCCGTCCTCGGACTCCTGCGACCGTGTTCATCTTGCCTATCTTCTTTTACTTCTGTCACTCCCTGTCCCTGCGCCTATATATATATATATATCTTATAATTTTATACTTTTAATCCCTCCTTACCCCCATCCCTTGTGAGCTACTGTTGAGGTGTCGCTCCAGATGCAGACAGTTACGGGGCTCACTTTTCTCTTTTCCCTTTTATAACTACGTCAGGAAAACATAAGGCAAAATAAAGCCAAACAAAGAAGAAATACAAGTACTGCTGAGGCCCAAAACTACTTGGTAAATATTGAGCAATACTAGCAAAAAGAACGATGTAGAGCACCAATAACCTAGTAATTCCACACAACCCTCAATATTTGAGATTGTAATTTCACTGAATGACGTTGCACTTATAAAGGTTTCAAGTGAAATTTAGGGCCTTACTAAATCGACAGTTAAACTTTAGCCGTGGCCTTTCCTCTTCAAAGGTTGAACCAAATGCCAAGTGTTGAACCAATGCCAAGCTCCCGAGGCCCTCCAACCAGGACGCCCGAAGCGAACAGGTTCTCCGAAATCGAAGACTCGACTCCCACACGTAACGTTTGTGATGCTCCATCTTAACTGACCAACAAGAACCTGCCGAGCGCGTCCACATAATAGCCTCAAGACCAAAGGGGCACCAAGTTGAGTTTTGAATAGAAGAGCGTGCCACTGGATATGCACAACAAACAAATGCAAAAACATACACACGAAAAAAAGAAGCCTCCCTGCCACACAGATTGATTGATAAATCTGTTACAAGTTGCCCGGCTTTACATGCAGTTTAAAAGCAAGAGAACATCAACATGCCACTACATTTCACAATGTGTATGAATGTCTATCATGGCTAACAAACATGCAGATCGGTTACTCAGTTTCGCTGCAGCTTCATATTGTGGTGAAATGCGAGCATTAGGAGAAATGTTGGTACTTTATGTTACACTTGCATTATTTATTTAATGATATGGATCCAGCATATTTGACAGTCACTAAAAAAACAGTTAACCTTTATTGGAATGTGAACAGCGTGAGATTTTGGGGTGCGATAGATTTTGTAAGCCTTAACACTCCTTTAAAAGCTCTGTACATGATTAGGCAATATATCACCACCGTGAAGGTATTCCACAGCCTTCCATGGGCACCTGCTGGCCAAGGTTGGATCCAGAGATTGCTGGCACGTCGCGCAGGGGGCAATGAGAGGTAGTCCGTCGCGCACTCTTTAAAAGTCCGCTAGCGATCACAGTAGAACGACACCGAGTTTTCACTACACCGATATGTCCTTTGCGTGATGCATGCTCAATAAGGCGAAGGAAGAAGCAGGAACCAGAATGTGAATCGTTGCTGATGAACGTCCTGGCAGCAGGACAGGGATGGTCTTGCCCCCCAAGAGGCACAGGCTGGACGTGGAAGGCTATGCGGGTTTGTATGCAGCGTCTATCGGCGAGATTGAAGGTCGAGGGGCTGTAAAGACACCAATATTTCACATTTACATGTAGTGGGGATGCGAAAGATGCACACACTAATACGAGCTCAAGGGGGACGCGATCTTTAGGAATGCTGAATTCCTACTTATAGCCTAGGAATGGACGAGATAATGGGATTTTTCTGCAATTGACATAGCTCGAACGCAATACCCTGAGGCTAAAACTGAAGCGAATCAAGTTCATGCAATTTACATCACAGTTACCACACAACAGCTAAGAACAACAGTGTTCTCGATGCTTTCATTGGGGCGATTTCTGAACGTTGTGATGCTGAGCGAAAAAAAGCCTTTAAAAAAATATTATTCATAGTGAGCGTCTCGCCTGCAAAGTTCATGCCCTAAGTTGATACAAGAGTTTATAATTGAGCAGCAGTGTTGTGCACAGGTCACGATGTACCTTCTGCTGAAAAAGTCACACTTGCCCCTTCACTACAGTGATGCTGGCAACGCTCCCATGATTAGATGTACACATATATACTTTAGTAAACCTTGTTGTTGCGCTAGTTGGTGCATGTCACAAGAAAATCGACCGGCGCAAATCACCAGGGAAGGCGAAGAGAGCGTCAAATCTCAGCTAAGTTTACTCTCGCCAAACCACTGAAATAAATGGCAGAATCGCACACTCACACTGCACGGGCTATTTCAGAAAGGTATAAAAAACTGAATTCAATTGACCGCAGCACCACAGACGTAGCACTGATATCAACATCTATATTCTTCCTGATGCGGTATGCTTCTATAGCATCTCTCTCTCAATCACATCCTTGCTTCTACCTAGATTGCAAAAGGATTGCCAAAGTGCCTAGATTGCCTACCTAGAAGTGCCTAGAAGTGCCTACCTAGATTGCTAAAGTGCCAAAGGAGTATTCTTCGCCGAAAAATCTCTCGTTCGATCGTTTATACCTTGGCTGGTGTGGCAGATGCAAACCTTTCCTCAGGAGAGTGGAACTTGGTAGACAGACCCCTCTTAACGCCTCGCATGCCTCTTACCACCACAAGGGGCAGGCATGGGTCTTCTCGAGATATGTGCGCACAGACCCGGTGCCCCCCCCCCCCTTTGCCCCACCGGCGATAAGTAGACTTAGAGCAAGCCTTTGATCCACTTCGCCATTATTTTCTGGTTTCTCTTCTTGAACATGCCAACGTTGGATCCACTATATTTAAAGGTGTGAAACATGCTACAATGAATGTTCAACCCATTTAATTGTTAACGGCTATCTTTCAAAACCCGCGTTTCTTAACTCGTCTGTGAAACAGGGCTGTCCGTTGTCACCGACCTCGAGATTAGTTTGCATAACATACAGGCGTGGTGTGACAGATCAGGCATGTCTTTAAACAAAGAAAAAACTGTCTTTCTTCGTATCACAAGGAAAAAAAGCCCGTTAAAATACACCTACACACTGGCCGCCTCACCGCTAAAAGAAGTTGAACACTTCAAATATCTGGGATAAACGTTTTCAAACAACCTTTCGTGGAATTTACATATTAGTAATATATGTTCCTCAGCTTTCCGTAAACTTTGTTTCCTGAAACACAAGCTTGAAAATTCACCCGCCCACATTAAACTACTGAGTTACATTGCTTCCATTAGACCGAAGTTAGAGTATCCTTGCATTACATGGGATCCCTACACTAAACACAACATTAAAATAATAGAGAAACTCCAGAGAAAGGCTGTTCGCTTCATTTACTCCAAGTTCAAGCACACCGATTCCTCCACACAGCTGATGACAGAAAATGACATCCCCCTCCTCGAAACGCGTGGGCAGATTCTCCGCCTCAATTTCCTACAATCACTCATTAAACGTGAATTATCCATCGACCCCGCATTATATGTAACACCTCTGTCCTCAAGGCGTACACGTCACGATCACACACATGCTTTAACCCCTCATTTCGCTAGGACAGATATTTACAAACATTCATTTTTCCCAGGACAGTGTCTGAGTGGAACTCTAGGCATGAAAAGAATGACCTTTAAGTTACCACAATGCCCACGTTAGGTGTTGTGTTTTCATGTCGTATGTTTTTTGTACGTTGCGTTTTGATTTTGTATGATTTTGTATGTTGGAGTGGAATGCTGGGCATATAATGAATGACCTTTTTTACCGTAATACACGCGTTAGGTGTTGTGTTTCCACTTTGTATGTTTTACTTCATTTTACTTACTTTTGTTGGAACTACAGTACTGCCTTTTTTTTTTGTTAGAATGCAGTCTGAGTGCCTTTACTAAGTTGAGTGTAAATATTTGCGCATATTTTGTACTAACTGTATTGATATTTTGGTATTGTATTTTTTGGTGTACTATGGGTGCCCTTCCTGCAAGAACCGAATTCTGGTCTGCAGTATGTTATAAATAAATAAAATAAAATAAATATGAACCGATGAGGCAAGACCATTTTTTAGACCTGTCTGCGCAAATGGTCTGGGTTGGTACACCTCTTTATTAGACATCTGGTGTGGCGCTTTTCCTATTTTCGTGAGAGTGCTCATCCACACTTCGAACATTCTTGCAAGTGAATTTCTCAGAAGTTTTACAAAATTGAGTGGTATCTACTAATGTTGCATCGCCTCCCTATCTTCAAGGGTTCATGAGAGAGGTGTGTGAATCAGTGCGTTTTCTGACAGCCAGATTCTACAATGAGTACTTGTTCTCCAGCTCAAGAAAAAAAACTATATTGTGCTGTATTGGATATGCTCTTTCTGGCGCCACTTTACCGCTCTTTATATACTGCATTTTCTCGTCATGACGTGCTATAATATGTAACAAAAATTCAACAAATTTCAAACGGACTGGTATGCCGAGTTGATGAAGTCTACTACTCAAACACCCCTTTATACATTGTGTTGTACGAGATTTACTTTGTAACGTCTATTGTACATTAGTCGAATTGACCCTATGCATGTTGAACGCTATGTATATATGTAAGCCGCATTTGCGTTAAATGTCGAGTAAGAAAAAACGCCAGGCCTGCGTGGAAGGCGCAGCACAGTCACAGCGAAAGCTGAAAGAGCGGCCTTTCAGAAGCTTCTCGAAGCACTCATTCGGTAACTACTCCAAGCACACTTGCTTGATACCCAGTAGGGCATTAATAATAAACTTTTGGATAGTATGCCGGCATTTGCTATGCTATTTTTCGTCATTTTTCTGAGAAGCGTGGTATCCGCTAAACACTTGCAAGGAATTTCGTGCCAATTGTTAAGGCATTCGCTGACGACCCTGAGGAATTATGCCTTAAGTGAGTATTGAACAAGAACAAGCTTTTGTAATGAGTTGGAGCATTGTACGGCCCACTCGTTATACGCTATTCGCATTGTGCGACGACTAGTTGTTCTTTCGCCGTTTTAAAACGCTTTATAAGTCGCATTAACGCAACTGCTTTCCCGACATCAAGCCTGGCTAAGGGAAGTTTATCAACAAGCCCAAAGCACCAGCGTAGCTCACAGGTAGAATACTGGGCTGGCACCGAGCAGACCCGGGTTCAAGCCCCATTGTGGCATTAGTCATCATCATCAGCCTGACTACGTCTACTGCAGAACAAAGGCCTCTCCCATGTTCCGCCAGTTAACCCTGTCCTGTGTTTGCTGCTGCCAATTTATACTCACAAACTTCTTAATCTCATCTGCCCACCTAACCTTCTGTCTCCCCCTAACCCACTTGCCTTCTCTTGGAATACAGTTAGTTACCCTTAACGACCAGCGGTTATCCTGTCTATGCGCTACATGCCCGGACAATGTCCATTTCTTCTTCTTGATTTCAACTATGATATTCTCAACCCCCGTTTCTTCCCTAATCAACTCTGCTCTCTTCTTGTCTATTAAGGTTACACCTACCATTTTTCTTTCCATTGCTCGCTGCATCGTCCTCAATTTAAGCTGAACCCTCTTTGTAAGTCTCCAGGTTTCTGCTCCGTAGCTAAGTACCGGCAAGATACAGCTGTTATATACCTTTCTCTTGAGGGATAGTGGCAATCTACCTGCTATAGTTTGAGAGTGCTTGCCAAATGTGCTCCACCCCATTCTTATTCTTCTAGTTACTTCAATCTCGTGGTTCGGCTCCGCAGTTATTACCTGCCCTAAGTAGACAGTCTTTTACAACTTGAAGTGCACTGTTACCTATCTCGAAGCGCTGCTCTTTTCCGAGATTGTTGTACATTGCTTTCGTTTTCTGCAAATTAATTTTAAAACCCGCCTTCCTGCTCTCATTGTCTAACTCCGTAATCATGAGTTGCAATTCGTCCCCCGAGTTACTCTGCATTGCAATGTCATCGGCGAAGCACAGGTTACTATTGTACTCTCCATTAACTTATACCAAACTGTTCCCATTCTAGGCCTCTAAAAACCTCCTGTAAGCACGTTGTAAATGGCATTGAGGAGATCATATCCTCTTGTCTTACACCATCCTTTATTGATATTTTGCCACTTTCTTTATGGAGCACTATGGCTGCAGTTGATCAGGTGTAAATTTCTTCCCGGATATTTACATATGCTTCGTTGACGCTCTGAATCCGAAGTGCCATGCATGACTGCTGATATTTCTACTGAATCAAACGCCTTCTCGTAATCTATGAACGCTATGTATAGCGGTTGGCTACATTCTGAGCATTTCTCTATTACCTGATTGATAGCATGAATGTGGCCGATTGTTAATTAGCCTGTTCTAAATCTTCCTTGTTTCTTTGGTTGATTGAATTCTAATGTCTTAACTCTGTTAGCAATTACCTTTGTAAATAGCTTGTATACTACGGAGAGCAAGCTGATCGGCCTGTAATTCTTCAAGTCCTTGTCATCTTCTTTCTTATGTATCAAGATGATGTTAGCACTCTTCCAAGATTCTGGTACTCGTCCCGTCAGGAGACACCTCGTAAACAGGGTGGCTAGTTTTTCTAACACAATCTGTCCTCCATCTTTCAGCAGATCTGATGTTACCTGATCCTCACCAGCAGCTTTTGCCTCTTTGCATTCTCTCCAAGGCTTTTCCGACTTCTTCCACCGTTATTAGCGGGGTGTCATTTCGGTTACTGCTAGTTCTTATAGTTCTTAAGTTGTTAAAGTGGTTGTCCCGGCTACTGTACAGATCTCTGTAAAAATCCTCCGCTATTTTACCTATCCTATCCATATTGGTAGTTACTTTGCCTTCCTTCTCCCTTAGTGCATACATCTGGTTTTTGCCTATCCCAAGTTTTCTCATCACTGCTTTGACGCTTCCTCCGTTGTTCAGAGCGTGTTCAATTGTCTCAATGTTATACCTTCTTACATCGGATACCTTACGCTTATTAGTCAACTTCGAAAGCCCTACTACCTCTATTTTGTCGGTTGTACTTGAGGCTTTCATGCTTTGACGCTTCTTAGTGAGATTCTTCATTTCCTGGGACAGCTTGCCAGTGTCCTGTCTAAGTACCTCCAACTCTTACTGCACACTCCGTAATGATAGTCGTCAGATTATCATTCATTGCGTCAACGCTAAAGCTGGTTTCCTCGATAAGATCCGAGTACCTGTTCTGAAGCGAGACTGAATTCCTGTACGTTCCCTCTCAGTGCTAGCTCATTGATTGTCTTCTCGCGTATCAGTTCTTGTCTTTCTTTTTTCAAGTCTAGGTGAATTCGAGACCATACCATTCTATAGTCACAGCATCGTAGCTTGCTAAGCACTTCCACATCCTACACAATGTCTGGGTGTGAACTCGGTATAAAGTCCATTTCCTTCTTATTTTTGCCTCCATATCCACTTACGGTTTCCTCGCTTTCGTTAGAAGGTATTCAAAATTCGTAAACTATTGCGTTCTGCGAATTCTACTAGTAGCTCCCCTCTGGCATTTCTAGTACCGAGCCATAATCTCCTGGTGCCTGGTCTCCAGCCTGCTTCTTCCCTACTTTTGCATTGAAGTCTCCCATCAGTATAGTCTGTGTTTTTACCTTACTCATTGCCGATTCCATGTCTTCATGGAAGCTTTCAACTGACACGTCCTCGTGACTGGATGTAGGCGCGTAAGCCTGTACCACCTTCATCTTGTATCTCTCATTGAGTTCAAATACAACACCTACCACCCTTTCATTAATGCTACAGTATTTCTCTATGTTGCCAGCTATGTTTCCGTAGATAAGGAACCCGACTCCCAGTTCTCTTCTGTCAGCCAAGCTCCGATAGCAAAAGACGTGCCCATTCTGCAGCAGTTTATAGGCCTCATATGTCCTTCTAACCTCAGTGAGACCTATTACATCCCATTTAATATTTTCTAGCTCCTCGAATAGTACAGCTAGACTTACGTCACTAGATAGGGTTCTAGTGTTAAACTTTGCAAAGTTCAGGTTCCATTAGTAGTAGGTTTGTTTGTTTTTGTTTTTTCATTTCGTGCGATGTGGTTACGTACAGCGGCAGTGGCGTCAGACAACTACTGCGGTGCGTGACCCGAGTTGTGATCTCATAGCAGCTTTCACTGTAAAACGTAAATTATGGGGTTACGAATGGTACTGTACTCCAAGGGGGCTATACATAATTGGCCATTTTTAGTACTTGGCATGCCACATATATGTACATTGGCGATGTTTTTGGCGAAATTTAAGATGTGGCAACTTTTGGTGACTTTTCGCTTGTCATATGGCGAATTTCACTCGAAACTCGGTGAAAGTCCTGCTCCGGTCAGGTGAACTTGATCTTTTTAATAGGCTTCTTGAAATAGCACGTACTAGCGGTCTGAGACAGTGTGCGATATTGCATTGTGACGTTGAGGTGTGTTTTGCGCATAAGGCAGTGCACATATTGAGGTAATTTGGCAAGAACAAATTATGTTGCGAGTTGATGCTCTTTCTTTTCGCTTTTTTTTATTAGGTGGTTTGAGTAATTTCTTGTGACATACAGAGAGCTGATAAAGTGGACCGTGATGCGAGCATCATCAGTTAAATAAGCGTTGAGTGGTAGAAATGCAGTCAAAACTGACCTTCCAGGCTTCTCTGGAGCTTTGCAAACAGGAACAAGTTTGCCTTGTTCACACTAGGACTGTCAAGGCTGTATTGGCTTTCAAGATCAAAGGAAGAGTGGATGCTTAAGAGAAGTGTGAAAGGCCAGTTTTTATAGTGTTGCAACCATTTTATGGGCTGCTGGTCTCCGATAATCATGGAACCTGTATTCATGGAGCCATTTCATCGTGTATATTTTTTTGTTAGCAGCGGTGTATCTGTGTGTGAGAATACCAGGAATTATATGTACATATCAGATCGGCAAATTGTTTTATCAGATTTATTTTATAATAGATGAAGTGCGTAGATATGTTGGAAAGTGAGTACTGGTGTACAAACACACATGGACATTCTACTGCAGACGCACACGCTTCTTGGACATATCAGCACATCTTCAGCACTGTGAAATTGGATCAATTTATCCACACTGCAATGGCTCGAGAATGCACTCGCACACCTTACAAAACTTTCACTGCACTCTTAATACCTGGAAAGCTCGAAATTCCAGATTACAGCCCGAAATGCTTCGCAGCATTTTGTTACACGAAGGCTTTTTAATGCTTAACCGAATGTAAACAGAACCTGCCAAAGCAGTCCCAAGAAGAAAAAAAAGAACAGTGCCTACCCGTGTCACTGCAGACCGCCAAGCATAGAGTCCCAATACTCTTATGAAGGATGTTCGACCCCGGCAGTTCCAGAAGCAAAGGGTGGGTGACGTAAGCGAACGAGCAGAGCTTCTTTGAATGTGCCAGATGCACAAGTCGCCAAGCTAGAAAGAAAAAGTCACTGATAAATCAGCGCCATACATGGCGCACCTATTCTACCGATACACTAGGCTGATGATACACTGATGTCTAGCTTTAACGCCTAGTTTAGAGCATGACCACTTGACACAGTGAGACTAATCATAGATGCTGTCACACATTGCAAGAGAGGAAGTTTACAACTATCCCGAGTAGATAACAGACTGAAAATACGAGTTAAAGGAAGGTGTCATTGTAGCATTAGATTCACTATAAAATTGATAATTGTTGTAAGTCACCCTAAGTAGTGCCATAGATTACTAAATCATTTTGCCAAGAAACTGAGGCATTCCCTCTATAATGGAAGTGTTGTGCCATTTTGAATTGTTCCTTTTGGTAGATCAAAGAGAACAGGTTACCTGTCCCGTTTTCAGTGCTGCAGCCAGCCTTTTTTTTTTGTTTCAACGAGAAGAAAAGTAGCTGTTCAAGAAAAATTAGGGGATTTTTAAAAGGCCCTGAAACACTTTCCTGAGTAGCCATGAAATAAATTCACTGGAAGAGCTTATTGCCTCACAAATTCAACGCCGCAAAATTTTTAAGAATCCGTCCAGTGCCAGTGGAGTTAGAGGTTTGTCGCATGCTGCAATTGAATTCTCTCTTCCCTCGCCCCGACGAAAGCGCCAGAAGCTAAGTAGCGAGGAATGGCAAGACTACAGAAAAACGTCACGCGCGCTTCGTGACCTTGAGCACTTTTTTTCTTTTAATGCGCGGCTTTCTCAGTGTGATCGCGCGCGCACGCGCGTACAAGTAGCAGCCTCCCACGGCGATCTCTGCAACGAGTGAGCGCGCCATGTTCCAATCAGCCAATGACTCATACATGGGTCAATGACGTGCGATTTTGGGGCATAGAACGTAATTTGTCGAGAGAAGAGAAAGCGATTTTTGGCTGATTTTGGTAATTTATTCTAAATTCCAGGCCGCATGCTGTGCTATAATATTTGGCTCGCTTGTTGTCGAAAGCCTCTACTAGCGATCGGCAGCGTTTTCTGACCACGCTCAAAAAGTGTTGCAGGGCCCCTTTAAGCGTTGCACGTGACAGCGATATCCTATACCTAGTGCTTACTTGAAGCACTTAGTGCATGAAATCTTTCCAAACTTGGTATGCACCCACAACGTGGCTTCAAGGGAATAGGCGCAGTAGCGTATGTGCCTTTTGGGGTGGGTGACCGGCTTTAAACCACAAAATCATGTTATGGTCACATGTTATGAGGACTGATGGCCATGTGCGCCTGTTCCACGCATTATCGATTGATTTGTGGAGTTCAACGTCCCAAAACCACCATATGATTATGAGAGACGCCGTAGTGGAGGGCTCCGCAAATTTCGACCACCTGGGGTTCTTTAACGTGCTCCCAAATCTGAGTACATGAGCCTACAATATTTTCGCCTCCATCGGAAATGCAGCCACCACTGTCGGGATTCGAACCCGCGACCTGTGGGTCAGCAGCCAATACCTTAGCCACTATACCACCGTGGCGGGGCGTACCACTCAATATCAACGCACTATTTCACGTTGTATTTTGAAGTATGTGTACACGACGCACGTGTTTGTAAAGCATGGAAGTTACTTCCACTGCATTTCCAAGTAGAGGAAGGTTCTTTTCCCTGCATTCACAAGCAGACGTGTGGCTACTAGGCAGAACACCCGTTTGCCACGCAAGCGAACCGAGTTCAATCGCCACCCAAACCCAGAGTTTTCTTATTTGCATCGTCCTCGATTTCTTGGTCACGCGCAAGATAATTTTTCGCTCACAATCAACGACACCCGAATTTCTGCAAAACAAGCTTTTTAATGTTACCGCATGTAAGTGCTCGAAATAACCGTGGCATGCCACTGTGAACCTGGCTGCTAAAAGACAGCGCTTACTCAAGTGCTCCCATCGAAATTATGCCAACACGGTACGAACTCGAGATTCTTTAGTCCACAATTGTTTACACTCCGCCCTTGTTACTCAATGAAATGTGTATGCTTACGCGAATCATTGCGGATCTTCAAGCAAGGGTTCATCGAAACGAGAAGGTCACTAGCATGAAGATGGACTGCGGCTGCGTTAGGTTGACCGAGGACATCTTGCAGAAAGGGCTGGTGACATACGGACCTGCAGGATCACCCAATGTATGTGTCGGGTGGAAAGATGAGCAAGCTGCAATAAAAAGTGAGGCACATTCATGACAAGCTGATGTGAAGTGTCATTGAAAGGACACTGAAATTTGTAGTGTGACTGGTGTTCGCAATTGCGAGATAAACGCATCATGCCATTAAGAATCCGGTCATACATGCAATGTTTAGGCACGTGCGCTATTTAGGCATGCGCTTTAACTGGCACTTGGGTGCTGCAAATATTCGAACGAATGTTATAATGTATTCAAAACTTCAAATTTACATTCATGCGACTTGGAAGTATTCGAAGGAACATAAATGGCAAGCAGCACCGCATGACCCTTGTGAAGGCCGTTTCGCTGCAATGGAGGGTTGCGATGTCGTTTTAAGAGAAATACACACTGCGGCGAAGCCCCACTTCAAAGTTAAATGGACGGATGGTGGTCCCATCAATTCATCGTAAAATGTTCAAAAGCTTGTTATACTGGCTTACATTGTACGGCTACAGTAAATTATAAAGATGAGCTATCTGCGTCGAATGAAACCCATTAACAACGACAAGCCTTCGAAGTGCTATAGCGCGCGCCATCTAGTTATCACCATGGACAGGCGCGCACATCTTGCTCGGCAGCTGTGCGCATATATGCTTGCCTGTCCTTGGTGATAGGTGGACGGCGTGCACAATTCCATCGTGAATGCTTGTTGGTGTTCGGGTTTCATTTAACGCGGAGAGTACTTTACAGGCTGTTGTTTGTATTCTACCGAAAGTAAATCGTGCTACTATTCAAAGTTGCTGGCACTTTGAAATAATATAAAGACATTTACACAGGCCTTCTTTCAGTTAAAGTGTTGAGCAGGTCAGTTGGGACACGGCAATTATGCTCGTTCGTTTTTGTTTTTTATTAGGAGGAAGTTTTTTATAGGGTGAGGGTCGTTCCCGCCTCTGTAGTAGCGGCACTATGTAGTTGCCTCTAGTTTACTAACTGCTCAATAGATGGCACTGAGTGTATGTTTTTTAGACTTACTGTGTATGCTACCTTTAGGTAGCAGAGTTGCACATAGTTCCGCCATCTTGCTTGCTGAGAGGTCCATGTCATGCAGGAAAGCCATTCCTTTCAAATGAGGAGCCGACGCAGCCTAGTGGCTCTGAACGTTTTCTTGCTCGTTCATAACGCCTTGCTGGGGCCATGACAATCACTACGAATAAAGAACACAACAAAACTCGAACAATGACTTCATATAGTACTGGTACTATAGCTTGTTTCATGGCAGTCGCCATAGGAAGATTTTTTTAACAACTAACAAGAAAACATTGATTTAATTTGTCGAGAATCGTTCACACCATTCGCGACAACCTAGTTCCGCCAATCGCTCGTTTCACGTAGTTTTGCCCACTTTAAACGATTAAGTAGGTGGCTCGATGAAACCATTGCTAGAACTGCCCTTTCGTGTGTTGCAAATAACGCAAGCTAACGAGAATTTTCGCCAATATATACGTGGCTGTGGCATTAAGTAAACACTCGGTGAGGTTTCCAATGCAATGCCGCACAGTGTCCCGACTAAATTAGACTGTTTTCCACAGACTTGTAGGGTGCATGTTCAAACATTCACTTACACACAATTTCATCGTTACGTCCCATTCGATGTACGCCGACGAATGCACGCAAAAGAATACCTACCCTGCTTGTTATCGCCAGCTCTAGTCGCAAGAATATCGCTACGAAATTTACAAGTACACTTCATAATCATATGTCAGTCAGGAATGACGTCTATGGTGATGTGCATTCTGAAACGTCGTGTAATGATGGAAGTAGCGAGTCATAGGCACTGCCGACACATTCAACCTGCAGTGATGATTTCGACGGCTGGCCGATGTACTGTCGTGAGTAATATACGAGCGGAAAGCAGATTCCATGCTTATTCAACTATTTGCAATGTACTGAACTGAATTAGGCATACAGAATTGACAGAGCTACCTTTTGCTTGAGCATTTAGTGTCATGAACATGTTTTTCTTATGCCTATTACCATGAACGGGCACTATAAAACGGAAGACCCGAAATCCACTTGCAGTGTAGCTTTCTTTTTTGGCACGTGTTCAAAAGGCATAGTTTATTTCCAACTTCGAAAATGCACAGCAGCCACTTGAGACGGCGACGGACTTGCCACATGGAATGGTGAAGAAAGCCTCTCCGCTGACTCGTCAATTCGCGCAGTGGAGAGCGCAGAATCCTGTCATCGTGGCAACTACGCAGCACTGAGTCACGGCGCTTCAACGAACAGACACCAGCACACGGACGTTCATTAAAAACGCTCAACACTTTCGCGCTCAGCCAGATCGCCTCGCCGGACTGCTTTTACAGCGGTGGTGGGGGTGGCGCCTGTGGCGAGGCGGTCGCCAGCCGGCTTGTCTCTGTGCCGTCGTTTTGTTCTCGCGCTATAACTATCGCCATGCCATACCAACTAGCCCAAGCTGCCGGCCGCAATGTTGGCTTTCTTTAAAGTAGACCTTTTCGGCGGACGTGACCCCGCTTCACGAATGGGGGCGCGAGCGGCGATTTCTATCAGTGGCGCAACTCTCCTACCCAATGGTAGCATATGAAGTAACTCTAACGTTCTTAGAAATATCACCAGATAACTAGTGGTTTTAGGGAGCATACATACTGGCAAACGCTTCGCTGCACTCATAATTCACTCCGTGAATGTGCTGTATTTTTTTATCATATTGAGCACATGATATTCAAATGCGATTCGAAATTCCTCCACATCACTACTTGCTTCGAACCTAACATTTACTATCCTCACATGTCTAGTAATCTTAGCTCTGCAGCGAGCACTCGCAGCGAAATCTAACCAATATGGCACGAACTAGATTGCAAGCTGAAGTTTGTTCATTGTGTAACCCTAGAGTGTCGCATTTTAATTCTTTTATTAGCATTGTTTGTAAACTGGGCGCCAATCGGTAAGAATTTTTTTAAAGTGTTTAAGAAGACAAGCACTGACTTGACTCCGTTTATTGGTGTCTGGTCTGACAAAAACATTCAGTTTGTCCCAAAAATAGACACAAATAATCCAAAATTTTCTTAAAGAAGGTATTTTTAATGAAATCAGCCATTGTACGAATGAACCCAACAAAACGTTTGGTGATACTTGATCGTTTTGCAGTTTCTGCAGAATGCGGTAGGTCTCATTCACTCTGTGCACTGTTTTTTTTTAATTTATTTATATGTTGGGTTTACCACCCAAAAGTTATCATAGGATTATGAAAGATGTCATAGTGGAGGTCTCCAGAAATTTTGACCATCTGGGGTTCCGCAACGTGCACCCAAACCTGGGCGCACGGGCCTGCAGCATTTTTGCCTCCATCGAAAATGCGCATTTATTTGGTCACTGTTTGTGGATGTTTACTATATTGCATATGTGTGCTTCTGCGTTAGTCTGGGTGATCTTTTTACCATAAATGGAGTCTACAGTCTGTGCTTCGTCTTCTTCCCTTGCATCGTTTCAACGTGTATTCACTCACACAAGTCGCTGCACATCGTCGGGCTAACATCGCTCAAGACAACGCAGTGGAGTCGAGCAGGCAGACCACCATCAGCTGAGTGACGACCTACCAGAGACGTCGTCGCTGGCGGAGCAAGGGCTGGACGAAATGCACCAGGAACCTGCGGGGCCGTCCATATCGTGCATCAGGTGCAGAGCTGCGAGAAAAAGCCACTCACTTGTCCATCAAGGCGAGACGGGGTGCACCCGTTGTGCCAATATACACGACGTGCTCGAGGTGGGTAGACAGCACCCTCACTGGCGACTCCCGTGTACTAGTCACATGAAAACGACCACAACCTCTTAGCCATTTGTATATTAAGCATTTTTGTTAGTTTAGTTATGCCCGGGGTTGTCATCGTCCCATACACGTACTCCTGGAACGGCAGTGAAAAGGCATAGGCGACCTCGAACGGTTAAAACTTGTTTATTCTTACTTAGACGGGGTTGGCTGGCGAACTGCCGTGGGTAAGTGAGCGGAAGATCAATGTGTCGAGCGGGGGATGGAGGAGGAGGAAGAGGAGGAGTCTTCATGACCAATGCCGTTTGCATCCGGTCGGGCACCGACTCATTGTGTACCACTCGGAGGCTCACTCGGAACCCAAGGATGGTTTGGGACCCAAGGATGGTTTGGGACCCGGAACCCAAGGATGGTTTGGGCCACCCCTACCCTTGCTTCTGGACTGCTGCTTCTGTTGATGACGACCGTTCCACTGCTCAATTAATCTTTCCTCTTCTTTCCACTTTTCTCCCTTTTCCCTTCCCCGCAGGCACTGCGCCGTGCTCCCGATCGGGTCGCAGAAATTAGGTGCCTTTTCTCATCTTCTAACCACTACACCACCATTAGTGAATACATTTAAATGCATTGGTGAAGGTAGTGCAGTGTTGAACAAGATGTCTGACGTGGGTGTTTTTGCGGGCGTAAGAATTTTTTTTACCTTAGAAAGGCTCGCTGCCAGCAGATAACCATGATAGAAGTGAGGGGATTCGGTGAAGTTTATAAAAAATATAAACTTACTGTTAATACAATGATCGCATTTACACTGAGATTGCAGTGAAACACAGTAATATATTTTCACGCATTCACTTGCTTCAATTTTCGTCTCCAGAGCATTTGCGTCAAACTGTAAATTTCAGGCACTCATAGGCAGTCAGTGAGTCTCGTTGAGAGTGTTACAGTGCACTTCGTACGCAAGTATCACGAGCATATGTGGAAGCTCATTGAGCAAGTAGAATCTATAAGCACAGGAAAACGTGAGTTACCGTGCAAACTTAAAAGTTTGTCAGTACTAGAAAACTACGGCAAGAGGCAATATACTGTGAGCATGCAACAACCCCATAGTCTATAATGGGCGCGCATAGCTATAATGTTCCTGCTACTAACAAAGCTCACCACAATGATGGTCGTTTCCGCAATCCCCAACGGATCGCCGACTGTGCACCTCCTTGACAATGGTTCCCAGTTTTTCAGTCCATTGTCCAGATGTCGCCACCCCTTCGCAAAGCTGCATAGGCATGTCTCGCTGTTACCAACTAGAAATAATAAAATTGAAGATTGATTTCCAGAACTACGGCAAGATTTCACGCATGTTGGACTTCGGGCTATCTGACGAAGTCGAGTTCCTAAACGGCACCTCAATTTACAACAACAGAAGTGTCTGCATTTTGGTCCCAACTAAATGCAACCACTGTGGTCTTTGTCGCGGTTTCTATCAATACAGTTTCATAGCTACAAAGCCACCTGGTGCAAGTGTCACGGAAAGCCAGCATGTTTCAGCACAGCCGCACGTGAACCAAGCCTAAGAGTGTACAAAGTTTTAAAACCCGTTTCAGAGTGTGTAAAAGGGGCCAAGACACTAACCAATGAATTTGTGGTCTTCAGCAAATGATCAGCTTAGATTCTGTTGTGCTTGTACATTGTGAAAATTGAACAGTAAAAAAATGTGGCAGTGCAAGACAAGCCCTGAAGTACCTGGATATAAACCCCCTACACCCTTCCTCAGGTACTTATTAAATGCTGGCTATAACCTAGAAACAAAAAAACAATGTCCGGTTTTCTGGCTATATCCAGTCCTTTACGCGGTACAAGATTAAGAGTTAACCACCCTAGGCGACCACTACTTGACATGGCTTGTGCGACATGCGCTGCCATGAAGAGAGTGTCGTCTTCAAGCAAAGTTAAAGCAGCTGCAGTGTCGTGCCCACTCTAACAAAAGGTTTCCACTGCAAAACGAGATCGAGAAATGAGCGAACACCAGGTAAGACAGTGACATCTTGTCCCGGCATCTTTCCACTAGTTCTTTGTTTGCACCGCAAATCTTGTTCAGCTGCGCACCATCTGCTAGGCTACACACACCTAAGGCATATTTGCGTTCTCATTCACCGTATTTTTCGAAATACACGAGAGGCTCACACCAGGCAGTATTGAGAGGATGGCAACCAGGAAAACCTGTTCAGCGCCAAGGTGGAAGTGCTGTGGTGATCCGCAGATGGCTCGGCTCTCCTGGCGTAAACGCAGACTGCAGTGACCTCTAATGAAATACGAGCCACTTTGTAGTCCTAAACATGCACAAGGTATTGCAATACTGAACATACGAGTGCGTGGTAATAGCCTCGAACAGTGTAGAAAATACTCGAC